CCTTTGCGTGGTGGCTGGAGGTGGTGTTGGACCGGCGGCTGCAGCAGGATGATAACCGTGGCCTTGGTCAGGGCATCACCGACAACAAGCTGACAGCGAGTCTCTACCACCTGCTGCTGGAGGACAGGAGGGGTGGGGCTCAGGTGAGGGCAGGTGGAGCTGAGGCTTTCAGTGAACATTTTACTGATGCCCTCACTGTCCACATACACGTTACATTTAAATACATTAAATAACATTTCCTTGTTATGCCGATATGTAACACAAGTTTTCATTAAAATGTGTTTGGTGTTGCAGCTTAGTTTGATATAAACAATTTATGTTTACGAGTAGAACATTGACAGGATACAAAACTGAAAAAATACCTTCAAATGTAAAATAAAAGTCAGGACTTTGTTCTCACTTTGTATACTTTCTTAGATTCTATTGTAATTTTTCACCTTCTCACTTTGTGCCTTTTGCAGTTTTCTTTATTATTATTATTATTTTCAATAGGGAATGGGAGGAGCCTCAGTTGAACACCTATCGCTGCTCGCTCACATGACCTCGCTCTTCCTCTCCCACCTGCCGATCACAATGGTTGCGCCAGCCAGCAGCCAGGTGCCAAAGCTCCGTCCCTTCCTCCCACTCAGCTCGTCGCTGCCGTGTGACGTTCACTTGCTGAACCTGAGGACGCTGGAGGACTCACAGGTGAGAGCAACACCTGGAACATTAGTGGAGATGTGGTTTAAGCTCTTTGTAGCTTTAGCTCGCTGTTAGCAGTGCATGTCACACAATGTGAGGCTCTGTAATTGAATAGTTTTGCCATGGTGGATCTTGGGAGTCGTAATGAACCTCAACACTGCAGGTAAAAAGAGAAAACTAAAATAAATAAAATGTTTGTGTTCAACAGGAAGCAGAAAGTCCATCACAGGAGGTGGCTCTCCTCCTCCACAGGAAGGGGTTTGACTGTAGCTCCGCCCCTGAACCGGCCCCACCATGCACGTGGAGCACACAGGAGGAGGTGCTCACCACACACACACAAACAAGAAATTATCTGTTTTACTGTTTTTGTTACATGTTTTTCAGTGTTTAAAATGCAGCTGATCACATGCATTGATGAACAGAGCTCTAATTTACTTCACATTCAACATCTGCATCTGATTACGTGCTAGCTAACTAAGCTAACGTTAGCTTGTTTACCAGCTACAGCCAAGTCTTCCCTCTCTCACCCACATCTCTATGAACTTCTTCCCTTATCAGCCTCCTCTAAAGAATTTTCTTACATCCATCTACAGGAGTCAGTAATGTTTTAGTATCATCAATATTATTCAAAAACTTAACTTAGTCCCCATCACATACAGTCTCTTCCTTTCTTTTGTTTCGCACACCAGTACATGGATTGCTGTGAGCATGCTGCACTGCACCAGCTACGACATGTATGATGTGCATATGTGTGCACCATGGTGTACGAACCCTGACCGCTGCGCCTAAACCTGTATTTTGCTTTGACATTCTGGATTAGAAGAAATCGATTATTTTCCTGTTGTTATCGATCTAAATGAATCCTCTGCCAAATATAGGACCTTGTTTTTTTGCCTCTGTCCCCACTTTTTTTCCAGTGTGTTTCTGTTATCAAATTCTAAATTTGTTAATATTTATAAATTGCACTTCATTTGGTCAGTGAAAACATCTTTGTACTTTTGTCAGTTAAATAAAGGTTCAAACAAATTAACAAATGACAGATTTTATGTTATTGAATTTTGGAAAATGCTCCAACTTAACAGACATTGTTTTTTGATGACATATACTTCAAAGTTGCACAAAATAACATTTCCTGATTTTATTTTCAATTTCTTTGTTTACATATTTAATTTTAGATAATTTCCTTAGCTGTAAAATCACACGTTTTATTAAATCAAACTTAGCTCAGTCAGTCTCCTCTGACCTGATTTGACTTCCTGTTGTTTCTCTGGTTTTCCAGGTGAATCTGGACGATCTTTTCTCTCCTCTTCAGTTTCGTTCGGTCCGTCATTCAGGTCTTACTCTGTTGCGTGAGGATGATGAGCCAGAGTCTGCCCAGCAGCAGCAGCTGCCACACATCGCACATCTGCGGCCAATGGAAATCAGTGCGTTTCGCGTGGAGATCGACTGAAAAAAGAAGAAATATTAAAATCAAAAAAAAAAGTTTTGTCATATTTGTCAAATATTGTAGCAGCCACAAAAAATGTTGCACTTTTAGGGCACTACGTGTAAAAAGTTGGCAAAAACTTGAAAAGTAAATTAAAGGTTATTAGAAATATTCAATTAAAGTAAAGCAGTTGAAAAAATACAGTAAAAGAAACAAAACACCAAAATAAGCTGGAGGTCTCTGCTAAGGAACAAGGCTGTATGTACAAATAAAGACATGGAGAGTGACGTTAACGCTGGAAAAACAAAACAGGAAAAGGAAAAAGACCAAATACACCGAGAATGAACACTGGGTGAATAAAGCAGGAACATCTTTTATTTGAGTTTCACTTCTAAAAGTTGATTTTGTGGTTAAATTAAATTAATTTATCAGCTAGCAGAAAATTGACCTGCCATAATTTATTATCGCTTAAATCGTTTGCCTTTTTAAAAAGAAAATACTTCAAACTTCTGGTTTCAACTTCTCAGAAGTAACTTTTTTTGTCTTCCCGTCACAGCATCTGAAATCTGGTTAAAATAAAAATTAAAGAAATTCTGCAAATATTTTTTCACATTTTTGACATTTTAAAGAACAAACCACTGGTGATGAAATGAAGACAAGTTAACGGGTGAAACAATGATGTGCAGTGAATGTTTTAGACTGAGTAAATCACTGTGTGTGTGTGTGTGTGTGTGTGTGTGTGCACGCACTTGTGTGTTTCCATGGTGACTGGACTGTTTGAAATCTGTTACTGCTGTTTTTAGGTCACTTCTTTTTAAAGATGTAGCTTTTTCGGTTTTATACATGTGGAATTGTGGGTAACCTGTGCCTTATTTTTCTGATCTGTTAACAGATTATGCTGGATTTAAAAAAAAATTATTTAAATGTTTTTCCAGTGCATTTGTGTTATTTTATGTTAAAATGTGGTTAGGAATGTCCAAAAATTATATCTTGTTTAAATGTTAGTTTATGTAATTTTGCTGTGAAATGAAAAGCTTTGGGAAATAACGGGAAATCTACTGTTTTCTTTTAAATGAAGAATTTTTTATATTTTACTGTAAACAAGTATATTTGTGAAGAATATATTAAAGCTGGAGTAAAGTACAAAATTAATGTGTTCTGAGTTTGTAACACCACAGAACAATGTGTTCTTAACCACCCAGCCAAATTTGAATGATTGAAAGATTGCCAAGTACATAAAATTAACTTCCAGAATCATGAAATCAAAACACTGGAGGCGCGTCAGGGTGAAGACACCGAAACCACGCTCAGTAGTGCAAATGTGCCGCTTGTTCTCATCACTGATGTATTAAGGGAGAACATGTAGGAAAGATGCATTTGTGGGGTGAAGGCATAGCTGTTAGCTAGCAAACTGTAGGTATAGTAACTCAAGATCAAACAGGAGAACTGGTGCTAATACGCTAATGACAGAGTAGTGGATGGAAAACATGGTTTTGGTGTTTACGGAGTAGTTTCTCCAACACAATCATCGTTCATGTGTTCCTACTTTTGTCATTTTTTTAATACTGAGGCATTAAGATTATTTCTTAAAAAAAAGACCATAACTGTGGTCGTAAAGTTTCATCTGTGCTGATTCTCGCCAGTGCCCCTCAAAACACCTGCAGGCTCAGTCCATTGCAGGTTTAACATAAGAATTACTTTGCTTACAGAAATTGAGCCAAATAAAGGGCTCAAAATTAAGGACAGCCCTCATGCACTTGACGATTTCACAATGGGACAGTCCTGAGCCCTCTCTAACTTAGTAGCAACATGCCTCAAAGTCTGTGAGTCTGTGAGTGTGGATATTTGGATTGGGGGAGAGTATCTCAGACAAAAGGGGTCAGTCTTCCCTCCTGAAGTAGTTTACACATCCAGGTCAGGTAGGTCTTCCCCAGATCGATAACTCATGTCTTTGCTAGAGAGGGAGTTTGCTCACTCTGTCTACATGTGTTGGACTTGGAGAAGGCTTACAACCAGGTACTTTGGGAGTACAGAGCACCAGGACTGTTGGTACGAGCCATTTGGACCTTATATAACCAGAGTGAGAGTTGTGTCCCTATACTCAACAAGAATTCAATCACAATCCTAGTTGGTGTTGGCCTTCATCAGGGTTGTCCCTTGTCACCGATTCTGTTTGAGACCTTCATGGCCAAGATCTCAAGATGCAGCCAGGGGGGATGAAAGTGTCTGGTTTGGGGACCTCAGAATTGCATCTCTACTATTTGCTGATGTTGTGGTTTTGTTGGCTTTGTCAGACTGTGACCTCCACCATGCACTGGGGTGGTTTGCAGCTGAAGAAGGAGCTGAAGCAAAACTCTCAATTTACCAGTCAGCCAATGCTCCAACCCTCTCCTATGGTCATGAGCTGTGGGGAGTGACTGAAAGAATAAGATCACAAATACAAGCAGCCAAGATGAGTTTCCTTTGAGGGTGGCTGGACTTGCCCTTAGAGATAGGCTGCAGAATTTGGACATCAGGAAGGGACTCGGAGTAGAACCACTGCTCCTTCACATTGACAGGAGCCAGTTGAGGTGCTTCGGGCATTTTATCAGTATGCCTCCAGGGTGCCTGCCTTTGGAGGTCTTCTGGGCATGTCCAACTGGTAGGAGACCCTGAGGCTGACCCAGAACACACTGGAGAGATTATATATCTCATCTGGCCTAGGAACGCCTCGGAATCCTGCCAGAGGAGCTGGAACATGTTGCTGGGGAGAGGGACATTTGGACTACCTTACTGAACCTACTGCCAGCGCAACCCAACTCTTGATAGGTGGCAGAAAATGAATGGATGGAACTTTATAAACATCTTGCAAAGTCTGAAATGTTACACTGGGTACAAAATTAAATTAATTAAAATCTAAATTTAGATCTTCATATGTCCTAAATAAGAAAGTCACTATCGACTTTTCTGTTGAGGAGTTGCCACAGCGAATTGTAACACTGAAGACTTACATGTTGACATGTGTTTTACGCCGGATGCCTTTCCTGACATAACTTGGTGTTAGAATGTTTTTAGCTACACACCACTTAATCAACAGACGCACACACATTGATTTGCTTCATGTTTTGACTACTGCTATGGCCAGCTGCAAAGCTGGCACCGGGAGACGTCACGGTTTGGCGTTCCTGAGTAGTGTGGGGTTAGCCCGAAGAGATATAATGTATAGGCCTGTTGTGGTTCAGGGTCTTTCATCTTTCAGCTGCCTGCGAGCATGTTGGAGGTGCAAGATACCTGAGCGTGTAATGTTAATTTTACCTGTGTTCATTGAATAAATCAGCACTGTTTTGTAGTTACTTGGACTGCTTCATCTCTCAGAGTTAGCATGGTAACAAGTACCGGGTCCTACAGTGATTATCCTTATCCTTAATTTGCAACAATCTGTATTATTATTGTAATGGTTCTGATGTCTAGTCTCTAGTTATATGGTTCTAATGTTTTGCATCCTGTTATATGGTTCTACATGTTATTGCCTGAAAGAATGTGAGAGGGGGCGCTGTGAGGGGTGTGGGAGGAGAGAGCGAGGAAGAGCAGGCAGTTGTTGATGTTGTGGAGTGTTGAATGTTGGGAGTTTTTCAAAGAGAGCTTGTAAGCGTGTGCTGTGGCTAAAACAACAGCATCGAAGCCTGTTAAGTGATTACAAATAAAAGGACGTTGATACCGCAAGAACGTCTGGCTGCTTGTGTAGGAACGGAGAGTATTACATTATTATTAATAAGTTTTTTTTTGTTTGTTTTTAACTTTAAAAGACATACTCAAATCCGGGGTGAGGGGGACAGCTACCACGCAAACCACCAATAAACATCAGCAGAAGAAGAAGAAGAAGAAGAAGAAGGAGGAGGAGGAGGAGGAGGAGGAGAGGGCAGTAATGCAGCGTTAACAAACAGAAGAAGAAGAAGCCTGAGCCAATAGCAGGACAATAGGAAGTCACGTGAGCAGCAAACTGTGAAATCGGATAACTTCGTCCTGACTACATGTTTGAGGTTCATGGAGCTTGAGTATGAAAACAGCAATGTGACTAGCGTGTCGGTATGTGTGTTTTATAACAATCTGATATAATGAACACCGTTTTGCCTGTCGTCGACCAGGCTACCTCGCCTAACCACATCAGATAAAGGTTTAAAAATGATATGAAAACATGTAACGTGACGCCGACTTTGAAGCTAGACTCTGATTTCGTAAACTTAATCACTGATTTCTTGCTGTTTAGAGATCTATGTTGTTGCTGAGGCAATACCTTTTTTAATTTGAAGTTTTCCAAATGGAGATTTGCAGGACTATCGGTATATCATGGCTGTAGAAGGACCTGACTGCAGACAAATGGAGGACTTAGTGTAGGGCCTGGCTTAATCACTAAAATCAGTCTCGCCAAACCTGAGTGCAGTCTGTTAAAGCTGTGACATTATCGCCCCCATCTATATGCATAAACAGCTGCTTTTGTCCTGGATTACACAGCCATAACGTGCAAATAACTTTGGATGTCATGGTCCCAGGGGTAACATGGGGAATACAAGCCAGTGAGAGCTTTGTAAACCAACTCAGATATTATTAGTGGATAAGTCATGTTGTAATTGTTTGTAAGTTATCTTTTTGCGAGTTTTACCAAGAAGTGGGAGGTTATTTTAGGGTTAGTGTGGCCAGACCTTTAACCCCATATAGAACAGCATCAGGAATGATGGGATTATTTGCTGTTTTTCAGATTGCTATCAAAACCCTACAGACACACGGCCATGCTGGAAGTTGTACAAACAAAAATAAATTAGGCATGAATGTGGGAGAAAAAACCCTGCTGATTCTGAACTGTGTGTTCCTTGCTGAAGTTTAAACTTTGGTAACACTTCCAGTTATTCATTTATTATTTTGTAGGGTAACATTGCTGTGGTTGATTTGAACCCAAACATAAAATATATCTATTTTACACAACAGCTGGGTTGATTGTCATTTTAACTGTATTTAGTCAGTAGCTCACCAAGCCTGCTCACTTTGTATAATGAATGGTTAAATTGTGTAAATAATACATTTGATTGAAATATTACATTAAACATAGAGGCATTAGTGATTTATTTAGTAGACTGACTAGTATTTTCAGATGTTTTTCTAATGTATTAAGCCTAGTGTAATTACACTGTATTTGTTTTTTGTGCACATGAGCATTTAAACCAGCAACAAAATTAACTGCACTATCTTGATACTCTACTAATAGCTTTCCTCATTTTTCAAGTAAAAATAGTGAATAAACTGTCAAATATTCTGTGATTTCAGTGTCTAAAATGTGAGGATTTGTTGCTTTGTCTCCGGGTTAAACATTTTACAATCATGAGTTCACCTGTGATGGACACATCCTTGCGAAGCTTCTGGGGTTCAAACAAGACAAACACTGAGACGCAGTGGTTTCTAAAACTTACAGCAGCTCAGTCTCACTGCCACCGTGCTGACAGTTTTAGTCTTGTGTGACAAAAGTCAAGGGTCTGCGTCTTTATTCAGTCTGTAGAAGTCATGTCCAGCTGTTGAAACAGTTGTTGCTGCTTTGTTTCCATGTTCTTATTGTTCAACTGTAAAGTATAAAATACATATATCAAAATAAAAGCATGACAGGAAGTACTAGTAGTTTTTATACAGAAAATATTTTCTTCTTCAGGTGACTGTGTTGTACTTCGCTAAGAGCAAGGACCTGACTGGTCTGAAGGAGGAGGAATTCACCTCTGTGCCCACCCCCATAAGCAGTGGGGACCTTTGGAGACTGCTGCTACAGCGACACCCAAGGTACCAGACACTGGGAAACCCCCCAGACTGAATCTAATTGAGTTTGCTCTCACCTGCACTGTACAAATTTTATAGTATTCTTTTTGTATCAAACCATTTGAGAGAGACTTGGCCCCCCTGACTGTTAGAACCCACTGTGCTGTTGTTTGCACTCCGATCAATGTTAAACTCACAAGTCAGTATCGTCATACACATTTAACCAGGTGTATGTTCAGTCTGTCTGTCCTGCAGGGTCACGTGGTGTTGGCGTTGCGTAACCTTTATGTTTCCATTGGCGACGAGGCAGTGACGCTGTTAGACGGGGACGAGGTGGCCGTGGTGCCACCACTCAGCGGAGGATAAAACACAAGAGATGGTAAATGGTCAAATTGAATCAATCAGAGCTCGATACAGGTGTTTAATAGACAACGTAAAAGAATAACATGTTTAAAGTCCCCATGGCTGCTCATTTTGCTCATTTCCAGCCATTTAATATTTAACAGGTAAAACAGTGAGTCCCTGTACAGGAACATTCCTGGACATGCAGTAACCTCAGGCCCTGGATTTGTTTCTACATCCTCTGGTCACAGTGCAGCAGCATGAGGGAAAATACTGTATATCCACAAAACCGGGCACAGTCGGAAAAATCCAGCTTTTCCAATGGCACCGTGGATGTTTTATTTATTTATTTTTTATTTATTTATCAAAATAAGCTTTATTGAAAAAATATACATAACAAACAAGGCAAAATAACATTTTGCCAGTATGGCGGGGGCACTGGTCAGGCAAACTCACAATGGCTTGGAGATTATGACCATTCAAGGAAATCCTTAAACGTCCTATCCTACCATGTAACGCTTTATGTTGTTAGAAAGTCTCATGAGTGAGAGTTTGTGAGATGTGTACAAACCGAGTTACTTCTGCATAGAAAGCTGAAAAAACTTAGAAAAATCAACTGGACTAGGTTTTTAGATCGAAGACGTTTCACCTCACATCCAAGAGGCTTCTTCAGTTCTGACTGACTGGTGTTGAGTCAGAGATATTTATCCCCCTCGGTGGTGTTTCAGTCCTTTGAAGGCCAACAATGTCCCTTAACAACTGAGTCGTTATAGCCCAGTATCGGTGAGAGTCGTTACCTGTCTTTGAATCCTTCCCTGTCGACCGACGCCTATTGTCCTGGTGGGCATGTTTGGGCAGAGATCTCA